CACATTTTGCACCAATAAAACATAGTGCATATCTCTGCCTGTGCTACCTCCTGTTCACAAGCCACATTCTCAAGGGCACTCTTCTCATGTCCGCCCAGGACAGTCATTGCCTTTCTGGAAACAAGAAGTGCCCTCTGATTTCTTTGCCCTGTGAATTCCCCTTGGGTAAAAACAGGGCAGGCCAAGGAAGAGCTGAAAGTGGCTGCAGAAAGATGCTTTGGCCTTGGGTATATTAAGAGGACAGGGTAGATTTCTCTGACAGCTGTGCCCTCAGGCTACAGCCTAGCCCTGGCTCTAATTGCTACAACTGGTGCTCTGTTAGAAGATGCTCTGTGTTTCCTTGTGCTACTGTGCTCCAAGAGCGGAGTCTGTGCATGTTTGTAAGCCTCTTTCTGAGAACTAGATGTTGAATTATTTTGAATTTTTATTTGTCCCAATACTTGCCTCTTGAGTTGGAATAAAATAGAGACTTTATTAGGATGGTAAATAGCAATGCCGCATAAGGAGACTTTTGTTGTTTTCCTCTGTATAATGATGTCGTGCCCACTCACCGACTTCCACCAAGGGGCTCGGCCCTATGCTAGATTGCTATTATATAGACAGCTGGTTCCCAGTTTCCTTTCAATCTTCTGCATGCTAAAAATAATTTTCAGCAATACTCTTTTGTCATATTATTTGCTGTGCAAAAATTATTCACATGGCCCTATTTCTAATTACATCCAGGTAAGACTTTCCACAGTATCTTTGTCCAGTCTCTCCTTTTCCTTCACTGTGTCTCTCTACTTGGTCTCACCGTCCTGGTCAAATTTCCCACAATTTCCTCAACATGTACAATCCGTACTCTAGTCAGGACACGGTTAACTCATCTGCACAAGTGCCCTGATCATTCTTCAAGAGCCAACTGACAGGGAAAAATACTTATTCACCACTTAGGTTATCTGACACTACATAACACACTGCCAACCTCGCAACAGCGGCCCTGTTTTACAGATGAGGGAAAGGGCTCAGAGAAGCGAAGCATGTTTCCCAAGATCATATAACTGGCAATAAACAGCCTGCAATTCACCTCACCTTTGTAAAGAATTCCTTTCCCTTTGCTCACAGTGCCTGGCCCATGCCACTGCAGTTTGGCACATTCTTGTGAACCAGTTTGTTTCCCAACTGCACCCTTGTTTTCCTCATCTAAACAGTAAGCATACAAAGACCGTGTAATATCTTTACAGCACTGAGAATACAGTAGGTGCTGCGTGTATACTTGTGGGCTGATGTTATATGTTTACGTATGTTGATGTCCAGTACTAAGTGCTAGGCTATTTTAAGAGGCTTGGGACAGATTGTGTTACAACTAGAAAAACATGTTATTTGACTAATGGGAAGAAACCTGTAACCGACTGTGTTGAACTTTGCCATTATTCCTCTCTTAATTCATCCCCTCCAGAAAATGGGTTTAGGTAAGGAATTGGTAGTATTACAGGAGCCCTCAGGCTCTAGTGAACATGGGGAAGTCTGCTTATAACCCATAAGTATGGCGGATCCTGTTCTGAGAGAAAGTTCGCAATTCTTTATCTGAAAGCCTTAAGGGAAGGGCCTATGTGTTTTGGAAACCAGAATTTTTCAGATTTTGGGAGTAAATATAGTACTTATGCTATGTCGTACATGACTTCCTCTGTGGGTCCGAGTCGGCACCTACAATCGACCACATTAAAACTCTGCATCCCATCCAGGGGAATATACAGCTGACAGCCTCAAGTCAGGTTTTGCCACCAAATAATTTGCTGCAAATTTGGGTTTTCAGAGGTTTTTGGATTTCAGAATTGTGAATAAGGGGCTGTGAACCTGTTACTGAGATGTATTGACTCCCTTAATTTCTCAATAATTTGTGACGGTGTACTTTATTTTGGAGATGAAACACTGAACCACAGAAAGGTTGTATAACATGTCCAAGGTCACATGGCTAGTAAGTGACAGAGCCAGCATTCAAACCTAGGCCGTCTGACTCCAGAACTTGCGCTTTTCACCAAGGAGGGTACTGCCTCTCAAGAGGACTTTGTAAATCACACTGGCCTCATCTACTGGTTATGTGGCCTTGGACAATGTCCTTAGCACCCTGGACCCTAGTCTCCTCCACTCTTGCTATGAGTGAAATGTAGATGTCAGGTGGAGTCTCTCACTCCGGGAGAGCTAAATCAGATGGACTTGAAGTTCCATTTACGCTTTGCCTAAAGCCTACTCCAAGGTTTCTGCAAGTTTCTAGAGAGTTCTATTCTCATGATCACAGTCAGCTTTGGCTGCTAAATTCATATTATGAATCATTATGAATCGTCTCATTAGCTTGTTTATATAAAGCATGATGTAGATGCATATGTGAAACTCGGCTCTTCCTACCAAGACACATAACTTTAGATCGCTTGATATCTCTCTTCCTTCTTCAAAGTCCTTTAGCCGCCTCCACACAATTCCACAGCGCCCTTACTTCTCCCTGTCTTCTCTCTTCCCGCCTTTCTTGTTTCTTCCTTTCTCCTCCCTCTTTTCCTTATCCCACCCCTCCCTTCTCTCCCTCTCCCTCTTCAGACCAAAAACAAACTCTTCTTTTTATTCCTTCCAGTATTTAGTAATTTTCTGTGGCTTTGGCTTTTGATACTTAAGCCTTTAAGGCCCAGGTGGCAAACACAAGGCCTGCAGGCCGCATCCGGCCCTTCACCTTGTCCTATCCGGCCCAACACCTTGTTTCTACCCGGCGCCAGTGCCAGCTCCTTGCCCCTAGTTAAGGAGTAGTTTCATTTATACAGTCCTAAAATTACATTTGGCTCTTTGGAGGCAACTGTGAGGCTGATGAGGCTCCTGGTAAAAATGAGTTTGACACCCCTGCTTTAAGGTATTATCTTCTCCCAGTGAATTATCAGAGTATTTGCTTACACAGTGTCCTTTTGGAAGAGTTCCTTTCTTTTTTACATCTTGTGATGTCCAGCCTAGATGCCCTCATGTCCATTTCTGCACCCAGCTAAACTGACTTTTCAACCCCTGTTCATGTTTCCTGCTTAGCTACCTGAGCTTAATTGTCTGGTATACAAATGCCATGGCTGCCCTAAAGCTGAAAGTTTTCTTAATTACTTTCAATGCCTAGTACCAGGTTTTATTTTTAGTTGGTGTTCAATAACTACTAGAATAAATCTGACAAAGTATCAAAAGCTAGGAAGCCATTAATATGTACAGTGAGCAACCACACAGTTAATAGAAATTGAAGTCTATAGCTTCATAATCCTTGTCTTCATATTACTCTTAAGTGGAGGAAATTGCTTGGCTTGAGATTTCAAAGGCAACTGTAACGGTGCTTTAGTATGGAAAATAGATCAGATGATGACCAGGGAAAATGCATTATATAAAGCCTCGCTCTCGGTGAAATGTAATTAGGCCTTGACCAAAAGATATAACTAACTCAGCTTTGATTATAAATTCATGTTCAACCCATAAATAAGAATCTAAGCAGTTTTTCTACAACAGAGAGTCAGTGGTGTGCTGAGTAAGCTCTAGATTAAAGAGTTCTTCCAGAAGAGCTTTGTCACAACAGATGTTGCTAGCTCCTTAGGACAGTTTAACACATGGTGGGAGCTTAAGTCATTGCTGATGGAATGAATGGATGCAATAGGAAAAGTGGAAGACCAACCCTGGTGGCAGCAGCATTGAACCCTGCCTGTTGCCCTGCCATTCCCTTCTTCCCTGGCTCTGTGTTCATTACAGAAGAAAAAGGAGACCTGAATGCTAATCGCTTAGATCTACCCTCCCTGACTGTGTGACTGTCATCTAGTAACTTAACTGCCCTAAGTTTGGTTTTATCATCTGTAAAGCGAAAGAAAGCCTTGGGCTAAAAGACCTGTAAGGCTCTAAGGTAGATTTGAATTGCTCGTATGGATATAGTTGTCTTTACAAAGCAATTCAGGTACATGGAAATATTCAAATGTTCTAGAGGCACATGATAAGTAAATTATATAGAATTTATAAATATATAACGTATATATTGCATACACAAATGATGTATGCAACGACCTTGCACTTCAGTTCCAGGTCGTTCTCATCAGAAGGTGGCCCTTTGGACTAGTTCTGTTTTAGTCCTCTACACAAATATGCTTATGCCTCTATTTCTTAATTTATCAACTCTAAGCAATATAATTTATCTTTGTACTCTTTGAGGCAAAGAATTTGTTTTGCTACCTTTTCTATATTTTAGTTATAGTTATGAATATTTTAATAATTTGTATCTATTTCCTTCATTGCTTTAATAGACCTAAAGTACTATTCCTTAATCTATCAATTTTAAGTAATGTTATGACTCCCCACTAAGTGAACTAGTCTCCCCTTGCCTTCCTCCACTTCTTCTCCCCCTTCAATTTCCCACCTTCTATCAGTTAAATAATCACCTTTTTCACCAAAATCATTACTTTTATGTCACTCAAAGTTATAATGTTTAAATTCCCTTTTGCAACTGTGGTTGTCTTTAATGCTTTTTCTATGGGTAAATTTTGAAAATGGAAAGCCCATAAAGCATAACTATGTGAATATTTTTTACTGCAAAATAGACAGCGTGCTGGGATGTGCGGAGGAAGATGTATTCCTATGTCGTCAGACCTGGGCCAGGAACACTCAAAGCAACAGTCACACTGATTCTCTCATTACACACCACATGTTTCTCAAAATCCTTTCACATTTTAGCTTGCTTCAAATTATAAATGGCTTTCATTTTTGGATAGATCGGTCATTCTCAAACTTGGCTGTACATTGGAATCATCAAGAAGACTTAAGAAGCCTTGGTACTTAAAGGACTTGACATTAAGAGTTTCTGATTTAATTGGGCTCACAGAGTGTGGATGAGGCATCTGCTTTTTAAAAATTTTTCCAAGGGATTTCAAAGAGTAGCTAAAGTTGAAGACCCTGATCATAATTAACGTCAGTCTCATTTAATAGAGTCAATGGTAATGAAGAAAAAAAGTAAAACCCAATACCGATTGAAGATTTGTATCGTATTTTATTTCTTTTTTGATTGTAGCTGTCTCCTTCATAACCTACCACTCCTAAGGTTGTTTAACAAGACACACTTCTCTGCCCTCAGCTTCTGAGATGTTTCATTTGGTAGTTGTTACTTGGATGGAGAGCTGATTTTGTTTTAAAGTCTGTTTTTAGGTGCATGCTTTGGGGCATGTACAGCTGGAAGTGTGGCAGGAAAACCGTCGTGTGACATTTCATCAGATCTTTGACATTCAGACTTGTTTCAATAAATGATTTTTTTCTTGTGTCTAGAAATTTAACGTGCATTGTGTTTCCAGTGGTTCAATCTAATCTTGTCTAATTTCCAGGATCAGTCGAAAGGTTGTTGTTCCCTTTCAGCCCACCTCCCAAGACACCTAGAAGAGCCGGAGCCAGCCACCCAGCCTCGGGTTCTAGTAGGTATAGCAGGGTGTGTAGAGTGACTGGGTGGACGCAGCACTGGAAGAGCCCATGGGAACGTACTTGCCTCGGGCTGCCTGGGAGTTAGCCTAAAAAATAAGAGTGACAGCGAAATAAGACCTAGTTAGAGCGAACACAACCATACATTTCACCCCCTCTGCTCCTCAGACGAGGAGCAGCAACACCTGCATTTGAATATTGCTCTCCTTACATTGATTTTGCAGGAATGTTGTGGCTGATACCATTCTTCCCATTCTGTAATGTTATCTCCTTTTCCCCAGTTTTCTTAGCACTTCTTTGGCAAGATAGGTTTGTGTCTATTACTGGGAAAGTTTCTTTTCAGTACCAACAGTACTGCATGAACAGTACTAGAAATTAAAGTTGAGAAACTTCTTATTAGTATGGGGATAAAGGAATGAGGATTTCAGTCTAAACAGGGGGGAAGCTTGGAATAGCTGTTGAAGTCCTCTGCTAAGATATTGACCAGGTGCTATGGCCAAGTATCAGACATGGTGCAGCTGAAGGTACACTATAGCAAAAACAAACGAATAAAGTTAAATTATTTTTTTAAGTTTCCTACTTTTTACTTGATCACAAGAACATGTAGTTTTAAGTAGTTGTTTTTCACAGTATCATTTGATTCCCTGTGTAAATTCCAATTAAGTAGAGCTCAGGATTACAAAACCTATAACAATATTTGAATGTCACTCTTCGAGTCACTGTTACTATTGTTTGCTCTCCCCAGGATCTATTTCTTCATCTACAGTGGTTTGCGAAGTGTGTCTCATGGACCTAAGCACTTGTGAGAAATGGGAACTCTCTAGCTATGCCCAGGACATGTGACTGATAAACTGAGGTAATTCGGTGGCTGGGGTCCAACCCTCTGCATTTTAGCAAACCCACCAGGTGGATCAGATGCACACCTGAGTTTGAGAACCACAGCTTACATGATAAACTTGGCTTTCCTTCCTTTGTACGGATGGCCCTTCTGGCCCTTATTTCCACAGTCCCTCCGTCATATTAGCTACACCTCCTCACCTCATCAGCACCAGCCATAATACCCTGCCCTCTCCACCATCACAAGGTAGAGTACTACCTCTAGAATCTCACACCTCTCTTATACCCCAAGATGATTTTTTAAACTTCTCTTGGGCTTTCTCTTCCTTTAGTGTTTCATTGGCACACCTCTGGTGAACACTTAACTTCTCGCTCTGCCTCTTCTGTGATCAGCACACTAAATGAGCCAATCACTCAACTCTGGCACTCTTCTGTCTCCTTATTAAACTTTTCTCTCCGGCTTTGTCTGTTTAGGTTGACCTGAATCTTCCTGCCTGCTTAAGAGGGCTGTCAGGAAAGTTCAGGATCTAAGTGAAGGTACCGCATACTTGTTCTCCTTTCAGCTGCACCTTGCCTGATGCTTGGTCTTCACCTCTGGTCTTCAGCCGAGGACGTCAGCAACTATTCCAAGCTGCTCCCCTGTGAAGACTGTACTCTCTATTCCCTTCTCACTCTCTACAGATGCCCTCACCTGTAGTCAGCGATCAACTGCTACATCTCTTTACCTCAACAGATTTGATTTCGGCCTACTCTCTTTCTTCTTTGATATCTCTCTCCTCTTTTCTAAGACCAACCCTGCCACCTGTGTAATATAATTATCATAATCCCATTTCCTCCAAGTCCTTGTCCTCTCTCCACTCTCCTTATCTTTACTCTCTCCTATTTTTCTTTTCTAATTGGTAGAAATGATATCACCTTATGGGTTTGACTTGCATTTCCCTGGTAGTTAGTGGTGCTGAGAATCTTCTCATGGGTTTATTGCCATTTGCACTTCATTGATGAAGAAATGTCTGTTCGAGTCCTTTGCCCATTTTTACCTGGGTTGTTTTTATTTTTGTTACTGGGATGGAAAGTTTCTTTATGTATCCTGGGTAATAAAACCTTATCACCTGTTTAATTCACAAATATGTTCATTCATTTTGTGAGGTGCCTTTTCACTCTCTTGGCAGTGTGTTTACATGTAAATATGCCAAGCCCTCTCCTACTTGGCTAAACTCTGTGCTTCCTGAAGGCAGTGTCTGTGTCTGCTTTTTTCACCCCAGTCTTTGGCTCAAAATAGGTATTCAAAAAGGGATGGTTCCTAGCAGAATAAAATCCTTATTTGTTCTCACTTCCCCTGGTAACCTTTCTAGGTCTTTACCTGGTATACTTCTTGGCTGTGCACATGTTCTCTTCCCTCTCTTTTGAAGCCCATCTGTTGAAGGTCACTGATGCGCACCTAAATGCCCATCTCTGCCTTTTCTGAGCCTTTCCCCCCAAATCTCTCTGTAGTGTGTTATTACTGACCCCCTGAAATTAGTTTCTCTTCGTTCTCAGAGTCCTTGGTCCATCCTGTCATACTATTGCTGTTTGTTTGGGTGGCATCTCTTCTTCATCTTCCCCAAATGAGAGGTGTCCCTACTTCAGTCCTTGTCCCTCTTCCCTCTGAAGTGTCTATGTGGAAACTGTCCTTCAATCTCTGTCATCAGCTATACACTCAGTGTGATTAACTCAAAACTCTCTCAGGCCCTAACTTGCCCACTGAGCTCCAACGCCACATTTCCAAATACCCAGCAGACACTATCTGCCGATGACTTCATGGCCTGAAGAAGGTACAGCTTTTCTGCATGAGAGAGCCAGGCCCCACGTGTCCACTTGATCAGGGAGATAAAAGTAGTAGCCTCTTACCACAGCCCGCTTCACGAAGGCCTCCTGTGTGGCCTTCTTGTTTGCAGCCTTGCCACTCCAGGCAGCCAGCGCACTGGCCTGCAGGGCCCGTCCGTAAGAGAAACTCAGTTTCCAGGGCTTTGGTAGAGGGCAGAGGTTGATAGCATTGAGGTTGAGGGTAGCATCCTCTTCACTCATGCCACCAGACAAAAAGCAGATGCCTATAATGAGAAAAGCCATTCCACTCCACTGGTCCAAGCTTGTGGACCCTGCTTGAGAAAGCAAGCAATGAGCCTAAAGGAGATGTAATGCCACATTTTTTTTCTGGTTGGTTTGCATAGGACTGAGTTGAAGATATTAGTCTGCCTTTGTTGAGGCTAAGGATATAAGAACTTCAGTAAATAAGGGTGGTGATGAAATGTTGAAGAAATCAATGGATTGTGTGCATTTGGACAGACTCAGAGTATATGGTATCGTGGAGTGTGAGGGCAAGTGCTGGCTGCCTGTGGGATAGCAGGGGTCTGCTTCATGGATAGAAGACTGCTGGACCAACAGAAAAGCTTGTGAAACTCTTTCAAAGGCTGAGCACTAAGACCATGAGTTGGAGACGAAAAGCCTTACCAGGAACAGCTGCAGGAACGGTGCGGTACAGAGCCGTGACAGTGGCCATAGCCACTTGCTCTGGAGTATACTTCTTGGTGCAGGCATGCCCAGCAGTCACCATGTTGGGCTTCAGCAGGGTGCCCTCCAGGTAAACATTATGGTCATTCAGGGTCTTGTAGACAGTAGCCAGGACCTGAGGGCAAAAGGTCCCAACAGATGAAACCTAGAGCAAGCCTTAGAGGCACCTGACCTCGGCACTTCTACACAGCAGGGTTGCAGGATGAAGGAATTCTTGTGTGCAACTTGGCCAAAGCTTCCCAGCCAGCCCCTAGGCCTCATCAGGGCAAGGTATTGTGAACCACAGCCATGGAGCACAGCCGAGCCGGCCTGTTCCGGCCCCTACTCTAACTGCTCACTGCATGGACTGTCGGCATTGCTCTGCTGCCCTTCACTCCTTCCTTCCCACTAGTCCCTTTGGTCAGTGGCAACCGTTTTGATTTAGTTAGTTGGGGACATCTAAATTGGCCTTCGTTCTCCTTCCCCATAGGTGCTAAGTGGACCTATACATGTACATTTTAGACAAGGAAGTGCTGTCAGATCTCATTTAGTCCACCAAACTTTGCCAGTGAAGAAACTGAGGTCAGGTTACATAGGACTCTCTTACTGTGTTACAGACACACTGTGGTCAATTTAGAAAGTCACAAGTAAACGTATTACTTTCTAATTAGATATTTTCATGTGAGCTTCATCTTATTTTAAAATCTCTTAGTTTACACATAACAGGACCGAGGTCCTAAAAGATAATATGACTTATCCAAGCTCCCATAACTGGGAACAAGAACCCTCAATCTCTAGTCTTGGTACTGTAAACCCTGTGCTTTTTCCATATAGAGCACACCATGTGCCAAGAAGTGGAAGGTGTGATAACACGCCCTTCCCTTCTCCCTGCTGAAGATGACAACTGAAGAACATTTTGCATATAACAGTGGATATAAGTTAAGTAACAGCTGTTACTTAAAAGCAAGGTTTTTCAACTAGAATTGGGAGCGTTATATTCAAGCCTTACCTTCTCAGTGACATACTGGCAGTGTTCCAGGTCATGGTCACCATCAGGAATTACCTCCGGCTCAACAATGGGTACCAGCCCATTCTAAAAAGGACAGAGCAGAGGACAGAGAGAGTGAAGCTCTGCTCAATGGGATCCTTTGCTTAAGAGATTATTCAGCAGTTGCAATTGGTATAAAATGAAGCCTTTATGGAGAAACACCATCTAAATGACGTAAAAGCAATGCAAAGAAATCTAATGGGATGTCTAGTGAGCAGGGCTTAACCAAAAAAGAACAATGCGGTTAAAAAAAAAGGTTTTCTGGAAATGGGCTAAAGTAAATGCCAGCTCTTCATTTCTATGTCTTGTTCTAGAAACTGTTCTCACTACCTCAACAACTAGCTGTCACTCTTTTAGAGCAGTCAAGCTTAAATCACTAAGATGCTGCTCATGTGAGTTCAGTAGGGTACCCAAGATGTGTTTACAATTCTGATTGGGAATCTCCAGGCACTCACAACCTGGGTTGCCTTAACATAGCACCCACATAACAAATCAGACTGAACTGGATCCCAGAGACATGCCAACATATGTTGGAAACTTCAGCATCGAGTCACCATCCTCCATTAAATTACATGGACTGGGTCAGAGCTACCACCCTCGAGCTAGGGATCGAGCTAGGGTCCTGTTTTGGCCATGTTGGAGCACAGACAGTCAAGTGCCAGGGCCTCAAAAGCCAGGCCACTTTGAAGACTCAGCATATAGCCCTTTGGAGAAGGGCAGCAGTTGATGGTACTTATCTTTTGGGTTCCTAGCTGGCTTGGGCAACCAGACCCTTCTCTACCACACTTGGCTACAGCAAAAGTAGTGAAAAATGCCATCAGGATACACTGGTGAGAGGAGGTGAGGGGTCCTGTGTGGGTATAATAAAATGAGAAGGCTAAACTCTAAAGGCAGCTCTTGTCTACTGTTTTGTATCCCAAGAGGAAGGCTGAGCACCTGCTGACAGATGCTGGCATAGCGAGCCAGGGCATTGGCATTCTCCTGGATGGCAAGAGGGGATGGACACTGTTTGTCAATCCTCAGCACAGCACGCCACTTCCCAAAGTCGACACCGTCTTTCTTGTACTGAGCACAGCGCTGAGAAAGGCCATCGAGTCCTGCAAGTCACAAAAGAGAGAACAGCTCTTTACACCCCTTCCCTGATCCATGAGGCCAGAGATAAAATGATGGAGTTCTCCTCTGGCTTAGCTTTCAACCAGCAGAGCTTGAGAACCAAACACAACCAGGAAAATAAACACAGGTCCCAATACTGAGCAAAAATACCTAGATTTAATGAATATAATTTTGAAGCACATAATGGATAATACCATAAGAATAGAGGGAACTAATATATGTTTAGTACTTGCTATGTTCCAGGCATGATTCTAGGCATTTTGCATGCCTTTTCTCATTTAATTACCATAACAACCCTAATGGTTAATATTATACTCATTTTACAGATGTGGAGATCGAGGCTCTGAGAGGTTAAGCAAGTTTACCAAGTTTGCAGAGCAAATGAGTGACTGAGCTGGGATTCTGCTTAGCTAACCCAGTGCTGGAGTTTACACTTGGACAGTGAAGGACCTCACAAAATTATCTAAGTCGTGAGTGATGGAACTAGGACTCAAACCCAGACGTATGTGATCTCCAGAGCTGGGACCTTTCTTCTGTCCCCACTGCTGGATTTCTCTCTAAAAATAGTATACCCCAGGTACAGAGTATCTTCTCTGTGCACCAGACTGTGGTTAAGTACCTTTATGTATATTGTATAATTTAATTCCCAAAACTATTCTGTGAAGCAGATATTATTACCCCTTTTGGACTCAGACACTTAAGTGACTAGCCTGGGGTCACACAGTTATTAACTAGAGGAGCTGGGATTAAAAATCAGGTGTACGTGGCCCTAAAACTGGGGGACAGTCATATTTTCTCTTCCCTTACTTATTTCTAGCATATTTGGGCATGATTCACATCAGCGGGCACCATCCTTACCTTGAATGGTGGTTTCTTTGTTTGTTCCTGCAAGAGGAGCACTTCCTTGGTCTAACTGTGAATTAAACCATTAACAGGTAATTAGCAGGTGTCAGGTGTCCCAGTCAAACACAGCACAGCCTCTGGTGATCACTAATAGTTCCCATTTTTCACAAACCAAGAAGAAGAATTAGGAAGATGATTAGTCACTCAGAGGGACACAACTCAGTTCTCAGCAGAAGGGAAGTTACATGGAAGGAACAATGTAAGAAGGTCAAGGTCAACCCTAAGAGGATGGAAAGCACAGGCCTGCAGCTTGGGAAGGGAGAAGTAATCTCACAGTACCCCGGATGCGGAGGTGCTGTACAAGAGCAGTTTCCTTTAAATCATTCATTCATTTATTTAAGAGACATTATTGAGCACGTGCACATACCAGGCACTGTGCCGTAGGAAACAAAGAGAATGAGGATGCAGCTGTAACTCTCAGCAGAGCCGAGACTAAGTTCATGAGCCAGAGAGACAGGCTGGGCTGCAGCTGGCTCCGATTTTACCTTGCTGTGGGCAAATTATGTTACCTCTTGTAATTCCAGTTTCTCGCTTCATCTCTAAAGTAAGGGTAATAATTGAGTCTGCCTTCAGAGGTTGTGAGGAGAATTAAATGAGTCCCTGGAGTTGTAAGCACTCATTGAATACTAATGTGCACTCTTGAGAAGTTCATGCAGTTTTGGAAGACTTCGTTAAAAATGGAACAGTAAGTGCTTTAATAATAATAGCTACCATGCACTGAATAATAATTATGCAATGAGAATGATTTTTAAAACTTATTTCACCCTTAGAAGAACCTTATGAGATGGGCGTTATTATTCCCATTTTAGAAATGAGGAAATTGAGACACAGACTTAGTACCTTGTAGAAAAGTTGTTGGAAGAAGATAGCATGAGAAGAAGAGTCTAGAAGAGGATCTGTTCTCAGGGGAATGTGTGATGGAAAGCAGCTAGATGATGAGAAATGTTCAGAGTGTTGGCCTTGCCCCAGCCCTTGGGCTGGGCACTTGACTGGGTGCAGCAGAGGTGAGGGGAGTGGAAGTACTCACCTTAATCCCCAGCACGATGCCCTTTTCCTTAAGGATGTTTCTGAACAGCTTTCCCTGGCTGTCCTTCTGGTAGAGGGTCTCATGGAAGAGGATCACACCCCCGATGCTCTGGCTGATGGAGTTGTCCACGGTAAAGATGATTTCTCGGAACTGCCGTCGGTTCTCCTCTGTGTTCTCCACATTGATCCTCTGCAGGCGGTTTCCCATGGTGCCTATGGTGGGCAGGAGAAGGCGGTGTAAGGAACAAGCCGAGCTTTCCTGCATACCATCTCAGTGACCCTCACCAGGAGGGACAGCAAGACTCTCCTCTCTATTAAGGTCTTCAGAATTCCTGCTTCTTTTTTTTGTCTTCCCAGGAATGACCTTGGTTGCTGTCAGGATGCCATTCAGGGATACTGTGGGCTGGGCGTGTCTATGTCAGGGTGGAAACCACCACTGGGTCCCAGTGGGTAAGTATGGCCCTCATCCTCTCCCCAGCCCTCTTCTGGTTCAACCCTCAATCTGACTATTGACCTCTCCAGCAGCTGTGGTTTTATGGTGGTGTGCAGGCCTGCCAGAGGTCTGCCTTGTACCATCTTGGGCTTGCTCAGACACAAGCCCTCCCCTGTGCCAGATGTGGATACTTCCCTGCCCTCTCAGCTCTTCATTGGCTGACTTTAAACTGACTTCTCATTAGCAGTAGAGGGCTATATATCTGACCTCCTTCTGGTTACTGAGTTCCTGGTCTTGCCATAGCCTGGATTCAAATGACCTCTGGCTGGGGGCCTTCAAATGGTAGGCCTGAGCCTCTGTCCTGGGTTTTCAGAGATCTGCCAACTGGAATGACAGGGCTCAAAAGGTCTATGATTACTAAGTGTTCTGCTCCCGCTCCTGTGTGCATAAACCTTTACTCCCCTGAGAGGAAAGGAATATGATGACCACGTTGCCTCTGCTGAGTGTAAAAGCCAAAGTATGCGTGTTGTATGATGTTTCTTGCACTCACCCACAGACTCGTCGGCAGCCAGGATCCCCTTCCCATTGGCGACGATGCGCTGGGCAATTTCAGAGAGCTCCTTCTTCTGTTCTGGTGTGAGAGCTGGGAATTGGTGGGCCATGGTGACAGGTCTGGAAAGGAGTACATGAGAGTCCTGAACAGAACTGTAGGTGGCTCAGAGGGACTCATAACCAAGGCAGCTGGGGTATGCAGACAAGCCGTGCAGGCCCCTCTGCCATTTCTGGCCCATTTTCACAAGTGTATAAACAAATGAGGTCTGGGGGGTGTTTCCCCCTTAGCCTAAGTAGTAACAATCAGCCATAATGGATGCAGGTGGGAGGCTGAATGTTCCCACTGATCCTACATAGAATGTCTTCCAGGAGACCTTTGGGATCACTGATCCTGAGACTGAACCAGCTAATTAGTGGTGCACTCAAATCTGACAAATAGATGGCACTGTGGCAATTACTGTCTCTCTATTTTGTGGATTCCTGGCGCTGTCAGGTGCCCTGAATGGCTTCAGGCCAGGACAGTGGGGCCTCTGTGGCCATTCTCCACTTTGCTCCATTAGCCTACAACCCACCAGACAATTCTCCGGGCAACCAGCTTGACAGGAGAAACCACCACTTGGCCTTGAAGTTAACCTCCCTTGAGCTTCGGAACCTACAGGGTGAGGGGCATGCTTCCTTTTTCCTGTATTCAAACACTGATGAGACGACTTGAGGCCAATGGGGAGGATTTTTCCTAAGTGTCCCTGGGCTGAATGTCCCCAAAGGCTCCAAGGGTGCTGAAGTCACATGCTGGTCTCTGTTCTAGTAATTCTTAGCCTCACTGCTCTAGTGAGGGGAGACTCTGGCTCAAAGACCGCCCACCCAAACAACATCCTTAGCAGTAGCACCCTGAAGGGGCTCATTGCCCCTGTTCAGCTGCCACTTTGAGCTAGTCTTGAAAATACAAGATCACAGGGCTCATATATCTTAGAAAAAGTGATTTTGCATAGGTTGAGCTATCAAAGAGGACAAACCACAGTGAAGATTATCTTGAGCAATTTCCTATCCAAGTCTATGGCCTCCTCTCCCCTCACACACTTACACACAGGATAGATGCCTTGTGCCCACATTCTACTTTCTGGAAGCCCAAGGGCACTTCAGTTCTCATTTCACCCATTCAGCAATGAGGTAACCAGCCCAGGTAGTATCTTCATTAATTAATGAGCAAGCTAAGATTCAGAGACATTTCCCTACTTGCCCAAGTTCTCAGCGAGAGTGAAGCAGAGCTTCCTACCCTGCCCTCTCTCATAGCAAATTGACTTTTTCACATTTTCTGCATCCCTTTAAGGCAGGTTCTCAAAACCCTCCCCCTTGACATAAGAAGTTGATGGATGGCCACTGAACTAACTCATGAGAAAGAATAATGGATACCAGTCTCATTAGTGCCACTCTTTCTTCAACAGTGGTCCTTGTCTTAACTGAAAAGAATGAAAGCACAGTGCTGCCACTGGGATACCAGGACATGCTAGTGAACAACAGTCTCTAGAGAAGATGATGTTCTGAGGCTCCTCACATCCCAGCCACCTAATGTTGCCCCTGTTTGCATACTAGTTCTAATATTGTGGTCAGGAATTATTAGCTTTGGACCTGGCCTCTAAATCTTCATGCAGATAAAAGCCAACCTGAAGTTGGGGACATTCAGGCCAAAGTATGAATTTTTCTCTCTCAGTTTAAGTATTTGCACAGAGGAGTTGACATGTAGCAAATAGCAAAGATGTTTTCTTAAGGAAACTAAAGGAAAACATAGCCCAATAATAAGAGAAAATGATCATTTACTGCCAAGCACTCTGCTGAATGTTTTTGCATGTGCTATCTAATTTACTCCTCACAATAATCCCAGAATGCAGCAGGAATTTCCCCCTTCCATGTATAGATGAGTAAAGACTATAAGAGAGTTTATTTGTCCAAGCACAAATAGCTACTAAGACATGAAGTTGAGATGAGGGGCAGTGCTCCTCTCTTTCAAGGAAAGAGTGAGCTCAGTGAAAGGGATCAGCCTTGGATGACTCTAATGTGCTTGAGGACACCCACAGAATACTTGGCGATGACACCCTCAGAGCACCCCAAATCCTTGGGCTGTGGGTCACCATTCCCACACCACTGTCATCACCAAACCTAAGCATCCGACATTCACACAGAGGTTTGCTGCTCGAAAAACAAACAGACCTGGGCTCCAGGGCCAGCTCTGCCTCTCCCCGGGCTGGGACCACAGGGAAATCAGTAATTTCTGGCTTCTAGTTTATTATGGATTAAATGGCAGTAATATCTGCTCTTGTTGTCACATGGCTGAATGTGTCAAATGTGACCTGTGAGCACTTCACTCATTGTGTTTGCTCAAAATAAATTTGTCAAACTGCGTGATAATCATGAAGGTGCTTTATAAAGCCTTATGAAAATGCAAGGTATTATTGTTACTTCTTTTTCAATTTTTTTTCAAAAAATAATTACCTGGGGGACTGCCACATTTCTATTTACTCGCAAGCTATTTTCTTCAGGCTGATGTGCTGACTCGACCAGAAAAACAGAGAAAAGGTCGAATCAAACCAAATCTGTTTACGGGAAGTTAAACTTCTACAGGAGGATTAAAGGTCTGCACCACATCAGCACAAATGTTATTTGTCTGTTAATCATAAAACAGGGTCAGGGGCCAATGTTCACCACGGGAGCCGGGAGGCCAGTGGGAGTGGGTGACGATGGAGAACGATTTCTATGCCCCGAAGCCTCTGCTCACTGAGGTCTCAAGTCAACATTTTTCAAAGTGTGATTGGAAATTGTTTACGTTATACTATTAAGTGAAAAAGTTGAGCTGCAGAGAAGTGTGCAGGATATAATATCATTCTTTTTTAATTTAAAAAGTGTTATACGCACATACTGTTTGCACGTCTGCATAAGCAGAGAGTAACCACCCTGGGGTTGCCGCTGGGGAATAAGATGGGGTGAGGTGACTCTTACTTTCTAAATTTTATTTTATTTCATTTTTGATAGAGGGAAAAGGAGGCAGAAAAAGAGGGAGAGAAACATCAGTGTGAGAGAGAAACATTTCATAGGCACCCCGACTGGGGACCAAACCTGCAACCCCAGCATGTGCTCTGACCAGGAATCAAGCCAGGTGAACTTTTGCTTTGTGAGATAATGCCCAACCCACTGGGCCACACCATTTGATTTCATAATAAACGAGTTTATATATTATTTAATTATCATACATAACATACTAACAGGTACATATGCACAGCTCTGCGAGAAGGTTGTGAGTATGCACATACACAAAGAGAAGGTAACCACAGGAAAACAGAGCTACAAGTGACCTCAGAGTGATCTCTACTCTGACCAACCCTGCCAACTTTAGAAATGAGGAAACAGAGGCCCAGGAAGAGTCCGTTTGATGCCTGTTCTATATTGTGATGTTCTAGGATTACAAGTCACATCCTACTGGGTTACGACTTGGAATCCCATTGCCAGTCCTTCTTCAGCAAAATAATAGATGGAACCCTCTGGTATGGTCCTTTCTGCCTTCCTAGAAGAGGTCCTATGAAAAGGTAATAATTTGTAAAATGTGAATATTCAACTTTTGGAGACATGTAAGGCAGTAGAGTCCATTTCCTTCTCCATGTACAAGGCCTGTGGATTTTCAAGAAGACAAAGACAAAAGGCTTATTCACCGCAAGGCTTATTCATTGAAAGCCTATGACCACCAGGCACCGAGAGCAGCACTTTTATGTATTAATGCAGGAAGATGCTCACAGTCTTGCTTCCCATCCCCGTGCCACAGTGACAAGTACAGTGAGATGCTCCCAGCCAGCCGGATCCCTGGTGCCTCTGAATGCATGTGCAGCAGCCCAGAAAGAGAGTGATGCTCTTTCCTCTAAACTGGCAAGTGAGTCAAAGGAGCTGCTCACAACTGCACTCCATTGCCTGGCTCAACACTTACCTTGGGTCCAGCCTGGGCCTCAGTCTTCCCCAGGTATACCCCTGGCTAAAGCCATGACAGCAGCTGGGCTTGAGCCCCTGCTGGGTCCCAACCAGCTCGTGGAGCCCTAAGTAACTATTTAAAGTCAAGCATATTTTAAAAGGCAGCACATCTTCACAATATGCTGTTTTTAAGAGAGTGAAACAAATGCACCAAAATAGATCAGCAGCTTTTGACTCTAGTTTAAGGTGCAGAGTCTCTGAGGTGTTTGGTGCCAGTAGGAAATGTTGTTATGGAAAGTATCAAAGTGGAAGGTTGGAGAATTTATAATCAAATGATAACTCTGCTCTGGGACGTTCCCAAGCCTGTTCCATTTCCTCATCCGAGCAATGGGTGAAAGTCAAAGGTAACACATGCGTCCATGTCTGTGACAAGGAAACTTCACTGCTAATACTGGTTGGTGTGGGAAGAGAATGAAGAAAGTGACAGAAGGTGATAGATATGTAAATAAATCATCCAAATAAGCAGTGGTTATGAAAAGAGTATAAATGAGCAGGAATCTCAAAAACTGAGTAGAACCTAACTAAATGGGAGCACTCAAGTTGATTTTCCCAGGCCAAGATTCCAAAAAGCCCTCAGACAGGTCACACTGGTAACTAGGAGCAAACTTGAACAGTTTGCTGCCAGGACAGGTATCAGGAAAAACAAGCATTTCATCAGATTATCACATTTTCAGCCATCGTCAGTTTTTTTCTGAAAATGAAAGCAAACACACTTTTTCCTCTACAAGTGCTCATTAACCCCTTACTCTCTGGTGCAGTCCAAGTAGACAAAAGAAGTTCCTTTACTTACACTCTGGGATAGCAGCGTCCCCTTAGAGATCAGAAGCTGTGGGAGAGGCAGCAGCTGCCAAATAGGACGAATCTTTGGGAAGAGTCAGCTTTTATAGACTTCTCATCAAAGTTTGTTTTGTGTGGCTTAGGGTGGTTTTTTTTTTTTTTTTAACTTTTGCCCTCCCCTTTCCACGTTGGCCTGGTGGGGAGGTGTTTATCCAATACCTCTGATTGGCTCGTAAACAGCCAATCCTTCTAATCATGCTCACATACTCACTGTATGCATAGAATGTTAAAGCTGCAAGGACTGGCTGGAGGCCATGTAGTTCTAACTTCAGACTCCTCATTTTGCTGGTTAGGAAATGGAGGCACAGAGGATTAGGGGAATTCACCTAAGATGTTCAGCTAATAAATGACTGAGCTCTAGAGTCCACAAAGGGAAACAGGGAAGGATGTTAGCTTAGCTCCAGCACTTAAAAAATGCATGACCTTGGCCAAGGTTGTCTCTATTTCTCTGACCCTTAATTTCATCCTCTGTAAAGTGTAATCCCAACTTCAGAAGAGTATTAAATAAGTTTGTAGAGCACCTGCACACAGTAGGCACTCAAAGGCCCTCTCTCCAAACCCCATCTCAGTGCCCCCCAAAACAAGCTGGGCTCCCTGGTGTTTTTAATGCCAGAACCCACTGCCTTTACTTTATTTCACATTCATTCTCAATCTATACATTTTTGTCTTAAAGTTAGTAAAGACTAGAATAAAACTCAAAGTGATTGAGCTAAACCATCATCTTCCCGAGCTATGGCACTATCTTGGTATAGATTCATTCCACAGGTTTTCTCCTGAGCATTCAAGCAAAATCCAAACCAAGAGAAAGCAAATATTGTAAAAGTATTGCATGCTTCCTGTGTCAAATAATGAATGAGGCAAATAAACATGGAGAAATCTAAAAATAATGAAGTGACCATGATTACTGGAAAGTATAAATGCTCAGGAAGACACTCCCTTGGGATAACTCACCAAATGCAGAGAGTGTCAAAGTACTCAAGGGTGTGGCGCGTGACACTAGAATGTATGGGGGGACCAGTGAAATGTCAAGGAAATGAAGAAAAAAGTAGCACAGAACTAGGTTATCTACATAGAGTTTAGGCCCAGAAAGCTCCTAAAAGTGGATAGTGTTAGACATTGAATGTGGTTATTAAAGGAAGTTAAAATATTTGAAACATAAAATTTGTCTGGGGAAGGCTTATTTGCCTGGGGAAGTCTGGGCCAAGGCCTGTCCTAACTTCTGGAGACAGGGAAGGCAGCAGAGAGTCCATTCGCTTCTCCAGCTAGACCAGGTGGAGGGCTAGACGAGGTGAAGCCCCCTTTAGAACTCTTGACTCGTCTTGTCCCCCAAAGGCACACTCTCTGGTTTTCCCATGTGCACCTGGTGCTTAGTCAAGTACCTGGTGCTTGAGTCATCAGGTCAAGATGACCCGATCTAGGGAGTATTTATCCTATTTTAGTTTTGTCAGAGAAGAATGGGAGGAAGCAGAGGTGGGTGGTGATGAAAGAATGGAGAGTGGGGTCAGGGACAGTTGGTGGGGATCAAACCTTGGGTGGTCAGAACGGTGAGTAAAACTCCACCCACTGAAAGCTGCATGGTGAAAATAATTTCACTTCTGCTGCTAGTACCAATTAGTCTCGTTGCAACGATGACAACAATAACAATAATAATCACTAATTTTTTTGAGATTCTATGATACATCTAGTTCTTTTTATAGATATCTCCAATCCGAACCCTCTCTGAAATTACCCACTTTCTGGATAAGGAAACTCTGGTTCAGAGAAGGCAAGTGACTTGTCTGGAGTCCCAGGACAGGTGCACCGAGAGTCTGTGTCACTCTGTCAGCAGAGCTGACACAGAGCAGAGCTGTTTACATTTTAGTCACCGAAGACTGCATAGATTAGCAATTTACCTCTCCCCTCCCAGTATTTTACAACCTTGGACATTAAACCTTCATTAAACAGGGAAGAACAACTTGTGTGGGTAGACCTCGGTGGCCCTGGTCCTGCTGAACATGGATTCACGTGGACAGCGGACTGGACAAGCACGTCAGGGAGGTGAATGCACCGAGTGACGCCGTCAGGTGCTGTTCCCGTGGCATCAGCATTTGCTCGCTCGCTCACTTCCAGGGGCTGATGTGTAAGTAAACTCAAAGTTCAAGATGGCAAGGCTAAGGCTTACCGGACAGAGAAACAGCAACTCCTCGGCAACACAGACCATTTGCAGGTTGTTTTTTTTAAGACTCTTAAATCCATAAAATGTTCAAAATTGAGATATCATAGTACATGTAAAGACCCTGGGACTTGGAAGCTGTGACATATTGGGGAATCCTCCAACCTCTTTTGTCCTCAGTTTTGTCCTCTGTAAAATGGGCTAGAAATGGGTACCATCAGAACCTGATTATGAAGCATAAATGAAATAACATATGAGTAGGGCTTAGTACACAGTAACTTTTTCATTAAATAGCTGGATCTAAATGCATAATTCTGATTTAGAAGCCTTCAATTACAGATTCTTCTAATAGACAATAATAATAAGATATTATTCATGGTCATGACTCTCAGTAACTCCAGTAACTGCCTTGTTGATTCTTGTCTCCCTGCCCCTCTCTAGATACTTCTGATTTGAATCTGATAACTATATAAGTCAACCAATAGGTCATAAGTTAAATGTATTTATGCCCAGTATGAGATCTAAATCCACAAAGAAACTTGTACATGCAAATAAATCCCATGTATGATAGAGTTACACTCATTGTAAAATTTGTATTTTTACTTAGGGAAAACTTTCATTAAAAGGTTTGCACATCTACGCAATGCAAGGAAGAAGCATGGTTAGGTCAATACAGCATTTAAAAATGGCTTCTCCAACCCGTTGTCTGGAAATCTCCTTGCCATACTGGAATTTGCTTTGGTGGTCAGGATGATTTCAGGACCCTGAAACCAGCAGTCATTCTTTTGGTCACAGGAATAGGGCTAATGTTATTTCAGCACAGTCAACAGAATTTTTATTGAGGTGCTGTGTGTGAGGCAATTTGTCAGCTATGAAGGCATTTTGTAGCAGATATACTTTCGTAGAGAACGCAAGATGAGTAAGACTGACGTGTCCACAACAGGATTGTAATGGAAGAAGTGGGAGGAGAGGGTTGAGGGCAGGAGCAAATCGAATCCAGTCACAGAAAGAGTGTGAGAACACCCAGAGATTGTGGTGGTGGTGGTGGTGGTGATGAATACAGTGTTCATGGAAGACTCTATGAAGGAACATGAGAGAAATGTCTGGATATTCTGGACTTTTGCATGGCCAGCCCATGCTCCCTGCCAGTTGATTCAGCCCATCAGACTGAGAGACCTATGCTGGGGGTTGTGGCGGAGAGCAAGCCTCACCACTGTCTCCCCAGCACTTAACACCACAGCTTACAGGACAGTAGGCACCCAATCGATTTTTGTTGAATAAGTGAACCAATAAATATATGAATTGCATTTGTAACAATATCAGAAAAATCTGAATTAACTGTCTTATAATTCTTATCCCTGAGAACTTGAGATATAATATAACCATTACCTTCTTCTAAAACTACACCATGTTCTGAAAGCACATCTACTATTGTTCCCTTGAAATTTCACAGAAATCCAGGCTGTGGCTTCTCCAAAATGCTGCACACGAACCACCGTGCCCCTCTGCCTTTAAAAAAATGTGCTAAAATACACATAAAATTTACCATCTTAACCATTTAAAGTGTCTAGTTAGTAGTGTTCATTCCATTCACATTGTTGTTTAACCAATCTCCAGAATTTCTTTTATCTTGCAAAACTGAAACTCTATATCCACTAAACAACTCATATTCCCACCTCTACCTCCACCATCACCACCACCGCCCCTGGAAACCTCCATTCTACTTTCTGTCTCTGTGAATTTCACTATTCCAGGTATCTCATGTAAGTAGAATCATACAATATTAGTCATTTTGTGACTGACTTATTTCACTTAGCACAGTGTCGTCGATGCTGTGGCACATCTCAGAGCCTCCTGCCTTTTCAAGGCTGTATAATGTTCCACAGGCCACTGGACAAGTGGGATGCTTCCACCTTTTGGCTGTTGTGAATAATGCTGCTTTAAATGTGCATGAACACATATCTCTCTGTGACCAGGCCTCCGATTCTTTTATGGCCCCTTTGTGAATATAACAGTTATATTGAGATAGAATTCATATCCCATACAATCCAACTATTTAAAGTGCACAGCCCAGTGGTATCTGGAATATTCACAGAGTTAAGAGTATTAAATGAGACTTCCGCCAAGATGGAGGTATAGGTGGATGTGCCGTACCTTCTCACACAACCAAGTTTAGGGACAACTAAATATTAGCATCAGAAAACACAACCAGAACACGGAAAACTGAACTTTTCGGAAGTCCGCTGACAACAAATTCTTCAGCCTGACCGGTAAGGGGCGAAACCGGCGTCTGGTGAAGAGTTGGAAAGGAGGGCTTGGTCAGACCCGGGCGCGGAATCCAGACGCGCAAATCCGGACGCGCAGGTTCCAGACGCAGGATTGGACCTGGTGAGTGACCGAACGACCCACCGGGTGAGCGACTGCGGAGAAGACAGTGGGGAGGCGGTGCAGCGTGTTGACTGCGGTTGCCTGATTGCGAGCGAGCGAGGGAGTGGGCGGTTGGACCAGCCGCAGCGGCGATAGAGGACGCCGAGGCGGTAGAGGGCGCCGCCATTTCCCCGCTCTGACCACGCCCCCACATACAGCGTCACAACCCAGCGACCTGGGAGTCCAAGGCGCCGCTTCTCACATTTAAAGGGCCAGAACAGACCAAAAATGCCGCAGGAAGACCTCAAAGCCCCAGAGATAAATCTAAGCGACGAAGAAATAGCAAAACGCTCAGATGCACAGTTTAAAACACTGGTCACCAGCTTCCTCACAGATCTGGTTGATTATAGCCACAAATTAGAGAAACATATGAAGGCTAAATTAAGGGAAATGAATGGAATTCCACAGGAAACCCATAGAGATGAAAAGGAAACTGGGACTCAAATCAGTGCAGTGGACCAGAAGAAAGCAAATAATGGCCAA